GCAACTACCCACAAGCCTGGAGTTCCATGGTAGACACCAGATTGCCGACGAGTGATTTGTGAGCGCCATAGGCGGTGCCGTGTTTTCAACAAAGCTCCATCTATGGAAATCCTCATCTATTTATATAAAACAAAGAAGTATGTCTGTGTGAATGTGTGTGTATGTGTGTGTGTGTTTGTGTGTGTGTGTCCGCACAAGAATCTCGGAACTACCTTACCGATCTGTAGTGATCATGGATGGTGTTATATGTAGTGATGATGGATGGTGTTATATGTAGTGATGAGGGATGGTGTTATATGTAGTGATGATGGATGAATGTTATATGTAGTGATGATGAGTGGTGTTATATGTAGTAATGATGGATGGTGTTATATGTAGTGATGATGGGTGGTGTTATATGTAGTCATGATGGGTGGTGTTATATGTAGTGATGATTAGACATTCTATCTATATAAAACAAAGAAGTCTGTCTGTTTGTCAGTGTGTCAGCACGGGAATCTCGGAAACTACTTTACGGATCTGTAGTGATGATGGATGGTGTTATATGTAGTGATGATGGAGGGTATTATATTTAGTGATGATGGATGGTGTTATATGTAGTGATGATGGATGGTGTTATATGTAGTGATGATGGGTGGTGTTATATGTAGTGATGATTAGACAATAAAATAATAACAGTTTAATGGTAAAAAAATATACTTTGCTGTACCATTGTAGAGAAAAACATGGTGGAACTTACATACACCGTTAATGAACTATTGATGGAAGAAGAAGTTTTGGGGACTGAACAGTGAGACAATGTGGAGCCTCCCGGAGGGTGGCGATCTACCGTTGCCTAGCGGATGAGCCTCCCGGAGAGCTAGAGCTAGGTAGGTTATCAAGGAGAGCAAGAGAGAGTCTTGGCGGGCATTCGTCTCCGCTATTAACAAGGATACACCTTTTTCTGAGGTATGGTCGGCCATAAATCGGATCAGATCAAACAGAAGAAGGACATTTATCTCACAGGTGAATAGTGGACGGCGGCTTCTCGACGAACCGATACGATACGATACGAAGTCATTAGTTAAGAGGTGAAAGAAGATTATTAGGAATTGAAGAAAAAGTGGTGAAACTGAAATACAGTAGGAGTAGAAAGAATCTGGGCTCAACCAGATCGCTTCATCTTTCTTATTGGTGTTTTGTCTTTGTTCTGCTCCCTTGGGTCAGACCTTTGTATTAATATTGGTTTATTTATATAATGCTGCTTATTATTATTATTTTTGTTATTGTTGGAGTTAGTGAGCCCGCCCAGGTCCTTGTGTAACTGGGAGGGTAGTCACATTTTTTTTTTTGGTGTTAGTTAAGTGTTAGTTGTGTTAGTCTAAAGGTACACTGTATGGAGAGGCCTGCCAGGTTCTTAGTGGAGCTGGTTGGTCACTCTCATCTTTATTCCTCTAGTAATGTTTTATGTAGAAATGTGTATATTGAGGCAGGAGGTGGTTCAATTACTTCTTCCTGGCTGATATAACTGAGAGGGTAATCACATTATTATTATTAATATTATTAATATATATATATATATATATATATATATATATATATATATATATATATATATATATATATATATATATATATATATATATATATATATATATATATATATATATATATATATATTTTTTTTTTTTTTGAAGTAGCCCGCCCAGGTCCTTGTGTAGCTGGGAGGGTAGTCACATTTTTTTTTTTTACTAAGATGTTAGTTCAATGTTAAATGTTAAATGTTAAATGTTAAATATTAGTTATGTTAGTCTAAAGGTACACTGTATGGAGAGGCCTATCCAGGTTCTTGTGGAGCTGGTAGGTCACTCTCATCTTTTATTCTCTCTATTAATGTTTTATATGTATATTGGGGCAGGAGATGGTTCAATTACTTTCTTCCTGGCTGATTTAAACCAACTGTGTTCTTGGAATCCTTCGTTGTCTATATTATTTATCCAGTTTTGATATGTTTCTGTGTTAAGTTCAGTCACTTTTTTCCAAATATTTACAGCTTTGTTGTGTATATCTACATTGATTGCTAAGAGGTTTGCTCTCTTGTGTAGCTGTTCATTATTGATGTGGTCTGTATATTTTATGTTATATATAAATCTGAGGGCTATATTTTGTACTGTTTGTAACCTTTTAATGCACGTTTTACTAAGGGTGTTCAATGGGATGGGTGGGTAGTCCATAATTGATTTGACAAGGGCAATATAAATCTTTCTTTTGTTATTAATGCTAAGGTTCTTAAAGCGTTTTATTTTTGATAATCTTATTCTTGCCTGTCGTTCTTTATCTTTTAAGTATGTTATATATCCTCTTTTTGTTAGTTTTAATCCAAGCATCCTACCTTCAGTGTCGTATGGGTATAGTTCCTGGTCGACTATTACTGGACTTGTTTTAATCTTGGCTATTGGTATTATCTTGAATTTGTTCTTATTTGTCCTGATTTTCCATTTTCTCAAAATCATTTATGTTTTTTATCGCTCTTACCGTGTAAGTGCCATAAATTGAGTTGATTTTCCTGGGTATGATACTATTTGAGTAATATCATCAGCAAACATTACATATTCACTAAAGGGGGTAGGTTGAGGTGTGTCTGAAGTATAAATTGTATATAGTGTTGGAGAAAGGCATCCTCCTTGAGGTACTCCACTCTCAAGATTAAACATAGTTCCTAAAAAGTTTCCAATTTGAATTTGTGCTCTCCTATCATCTAAATAGTTACACAATATTCTTAGCAAGTATTCGTTAAGTCCCAGTTTTAATATTTTATATTTCAAGCCTAAATGCCAAACTTTATCAAAAGCCTTAGAAACATCCCTTAAAATTATATTGATCTGGTTACCCTTGCTTTTTTCTATTGCAATTATTTCCGTTATTATAGCTATTGCAGTTAGGGTATTTCTATTGGGCATAAATCCATGTTGTCTGTTATTAGTTTTCCCATGTTGTGTTAAAAAGGCTATAAGTCTTGAATTTAATATTTTTTCCAATAGTTTCCCGGTAATTTCTAATAAGATATTGGCTGTAGTTTGTATTTCACTTATTGTCCTTACCCTCTTTAAAGATAAATATCATTTTTGTATATTTTAGTTTGTCTGGAAAGTAACCAGTTATTAAGCATGCATTATAAATGTTTAATAGTGTATTTAAAATGTTTTCAGGTAGATTTATGATCATATTTCGTGTAATACTTGTGAGCCCGGGGGCCTTTTCCTTAAACTTCCTCAGACAGTGCATCATTTCTCCCATAGTTATTATTTGATTATTAGGTAGTAAGCTATAGTCTACAGTATATATTGCTTTGGGGTGATTCTATGTATGTGTCTTCCCATTTCGTCTTCTATCCTTTCTTCGTGTTCACTATCAAAATCTTCATTTTCCTCATCTGATATTTTAAAAACTTTTACCCATTCCTTTTTTGATGCTGACTCTTGTTCATTTTCCTCTGATGCAATTTTGTTTCCATTTGGTCGGTCTTTAATGTGGTGTTTTTTTGCTTGTTGACCTTTTACATCATCTTGTTTTACCGGAAATTCCAAAATGTTTTTGTGTCTGTCATAATGTCAGCCGCCATTATAATATCATTCCATTTTTTATTGTTTGCTTCCTAACATGCGTCTCTTAATTTTATCTGTAGTGCTATCTGTGTCGTATATAGCCATCTGTTACTGCCGTGTCTTTCCATATACCTGTTTATTTCATTGTAATAGGTCTGGATTAATTTAACTTCTTCTGGTAGTCTGTTGTTGGGTAATGTTCTAAAGTGTGAAGTAGGAGTGTGTTTGGTTATAGATGTTTTTATTGCTGAGTGCAGTCTGTCCATTTCTGAGTCTATATCTTCTGTTGTTTTTCCTTGTAGGTTAATCGAGTGGTGATTACTTAAGTCGTCTTGAAGCTGTCCCAGCCCGTTTTACCCATTTTCGTGCCCTTTTATTGGTATCTGTATGGGGCTTGCTGGACAGTGTTAGTATAATTGGCAGATGGTCACTGCCTGTAAGAGGTCCCTGTATTATATGGTAATTGAAAAAGGCTTTGTTGTTGGTAAAAATTTTGTCTGGTGTCGATTGTGTATTGTGATTTCTCCAGGTTGGAAAGTTAGGACCCAGGCCATTGCCAACGCCCTAGGCCAGAAATTCGCAGATGCCAGTAGCTCCACCAATCATGATCCACGCTTCGGCGTGATCCGTTATCGTTCCGAGCTCGTGCATCTCAACTTCGAGAACGAGGATGAACATGGCTACAGCCGAGCATTCTCCCCAGAGGAGCTTTCCTTAGCTTTGGAAAAAGGCAAAGGCTCTACTCCTGGACCTGACGGTATACTATACGAGATGATTAAACACCTTGGCCAGTTGCTAGAAGTGTACAATGAGATCTAGACGTCCAGAACGTTTCCAAACTCATGGCACTTTGGCAATGTCGTACCTTTCCCTAAGAGGGATAAATGCCCTACGAACACCAACTTATTCCGTCCGATTTCGCTCACAAACTGTCTGTGTAAGGTCATGGAATGTATGAAAAAACGTAGGCTAATATATTTTGGGAAAGTAACAACTTATTGAATGATCGACAATGTGGTTTCCGCCAAGGTAGAAGCAGACTAGATCAGTTAATAAGTCTTGAAACAGACATCTCAAAGGCTCTTTGCAGTGAAGAAACACTAATTGCAGTATTCCTAGACATAGAAAAAGCTTACGACATGAAATGGCGAACTGGCCTCATGATGAAGCTCCAGGCCTTAGGTCTGAGAGGTAATTTACCCGTTTTAAATTATCTCTGTCTGACATTCTGTTTCTTTTTAGCTATTTAACATTTAGAGAGAGAGAGAGAGAGAGATTACAAATTTTTAGTAAAACCAAGAGATTCGTGATTGTCTTTTATTTCTGTTTTTTATAATTATAATTTTTAGTCTTTATCATTCGTCTGTTTCTGTCTGTTTGGCAATGTTGTTTTGTTTTAATTTCCTTAGCTTTGCGATGGCTACCAGTGTTGTTAAGAAGCGGAAGTACAATGATGAATACATTAACTACGGATTTATATCAATTCTTGCTGATGGCATCGAGAAACCTCAGCGTGAATTGTGTTTCAAAGTGCTGGGGAACGATTCCATGAGGCCTAGTAAGCTGAAGCATCATCTGACGACTCTCCACCACCAGTGTGCGCAGAGAGACACCGATTTCTTCAAGAGCCATGAAAGGAGTTTGGGAAAACAGAGACTGGATGAGAGTGTTGCCTTCCAACAACAGAACTTAAGTGTGGTTGAAGCATCATATGAGGTTTCCATTGAAACAGCAAAGAAGAAGAAGGCCCACACGATTGGTGAAACTTTAATTAAGCCGTGTGCTTTAAAGATGGTCATGCGGGTTCTCGGAGAGGCAAGTGAACGTAAGATTCAGCAGATTTCCTTGTCAGACGACACGGTGAAACGGAGAATTAGTGAAATGTCAGATGATATCATGTAACAAGTGATACAGGAGATTAAATCGTCTCCAACTGGTATGTTTGTAATACAGTTGGAAGAGTCAACGGATGTGATTTCTTGTGCACAGCCACTCGCTTTTGTTCGGTATGTATTCTTGCGTGACATCAAGGATGAATATCTGTTCTGTACACAGCTTGAAAATACCACAACAGCTTTAGATGTGATGGAAAAGTTGACTTCTTTCTTCACAGCTAACGGGATCACCTGGGAAAATTGTTGTGGAGTCTGTACTGATGGGGCTCCGGCAATGCTGGGATCGAAATCAGGGTTACAGAAGCACGTCAAGGAAGTAGCTTCGAATGCCAAAGGGGTTCATTGTATGATCCATCGTTTTGCACTGGCGTCGAAAACCCTCCCTGATGCCCTTTGCAAGATACTGGGGGCAGTGGTAAAATGCATCAACTTTGTGAAAGCAGGAGATTTGAACTCTCGCCTTTTCTAGAACCTCTGTAGAGGCATGGATTCAGAGCATGAAACCCTCCTCTTTTACTCCAAAGTGCGATGGCTTTCCCAGGGTAATGCTGTGAATCGAGTGTTCGAACTTCGGGAGAACTTAAGTTGTTCCTGGAAATGAAAGGGAAGGATGATCTACTAAGTCACTTCAACGAGGTGTTGTGGGAGCCACGTCTTGCGTACCTGGCGGACATATTTGAGCAGCTAAACAGGCTGAATCTCAAGCTATAAGGCAAGGAAAGAAATGTGTTTCACCACATGGATTGTATTCGTGTATTTCTTGACAAACTCCAGAACTGGCAAAGGAAAATCAGTGCAGGAAATGTTGCCATGTTTGAGAATCTCTCAGCGGTTCTTGACGAGATTGAAGAGGATCATCTACTTGACCCATCACTCAAAAATGAAATAATTCAGCACTTGAAATCCTTGGAAAGTGAGCTCAAAAGGTACTTCCCAGAATTCGAGGAGGAAGATGGGAAATTGGTGAGGAATCCTTTCTCTGGCACTCTTGATATAACTGCCATTCCCGACGATGTTCAGGACGAATTCCTTGATCTCAGGAACGATTCTGCTACCAGAGACCTCTATGAAGAAAAATCTCTGACTTTATTCTGATGCTCAATGTATCAGCCATATTCAAAGGTTAGTGAGTTCGCACTTCGAGTCCTCTTGCCATTTTCTACTACTTATTTATGTGAATCTGGTTTCCTCACCCTTCTTGAAATAAAGAATAAAAGCCAAAACCGGTTACATGTGGACACAGACATGAGATGTGCTTTATCAGTGACTCAACTTCGAATCAGTCGACTGACTGAAAGGAAACCATGTCATCCATCCCATTGAACTGTAACAAACTATGCATTCTGTTTGATGATTGTAAACATTAAAATAAAGGAAGAGAACCAAAACAGTTTATTTTCATCATTATTTGTGAGGGGCTTGGAAGAGAAATGAAGGGGGGCCACGAGGATGTTGAGAGTTCCTCATGGGGGGAATGGAGTGAAAAAGTTTGAGAAATACTGGCCTAGTGAGTTAGCAACTTGTCTAAATATTATTATTTCCCCCTGAAGGCCGTACAAACGTGTAGTTAAGCATAATAGTGAAAACTAAGCTAGTGTTTCAGTTTAAACAGGTCCAAAATTATTTCATGCCAGGTCTTTAACTCCCCATTCGGAGATGCTGCACAGATCTGCATTGATAGATGAAACGATATCAGCTCTACAGTAGTTTGAGAGATAGAGGGAAAGGAAAAATGTGAAGAAGAGTAAAGGGTAGAATCATCAGCGTAAGAATGGATAGAATTAGTCGTAGTCTGAAGTAAATCATTGATAAAATGAAGGAAAACAGTAGGTGAAAGAACAGAACCCCGTGGAACTCCACTATCGGTAGGGAAAGAGCGAGATATCGATTCCGCGACAACAACTGCCATGGAACGGTTCTCAAGGAAGCTAGAAATTAGAGAACAAAGTGGGGAGAAAAAACATAAGAGGTTAAGTTTAGACAGCAAAGACGAGTGCCATACCTTGTCAAATGCTTTGGAGAGGACGAATGTTTCCCCATTATCCCTAACAGAGGATGACGAAAGATGGGTGCAGTAGGAGAGCAGGTCATCAGTAAATCTCGCCTTGCGAAAGCCATACTGGTGATCCGACAAAAAAAGAGAAAGGTGTTCAAGGTGATGGAGAAAATGCGAGTTAAATTAGGGCAATGGGGCGATAGGTAGAGGGATTATAATTGTCACCCTTCTTCGGGATGGACTGAACCGAGGTATGCTTTCAAGAAGAATGAAAAGTTTATTTGAGGCAAAGGCGAATGAAACGAGCAAGCACAGGGCCAGAATTTCATCACACTCCCTTAGAACACGAGGGTGTATTCCGTCCGGTCCATGCGCCTTACCCAAACTGGATAATACACCAGCAACCCTACAATTGGAGATTATAGAAAAGTGCACAGGCTCAGTAGGAGGAGCAGGAGTAGGAGGGGTAGAATTGGAATCGCGTAAGGTGGAGTTAGAGGAGAATAAGTTGCCAAAGAGAGTGGCTTTATCGTGGGAAGAGTTGGCTATAGAGTTATCAGGTCGGAAGAGAGGAGGAAAAGAGGGAGGATTTACCAGAAGAAAAGTTAGTCAGATCAGCGGTCTTTATTTTTATAAATTTCAGCTTGGCCTTACGAAGAATAACCTTACGACGATTCCAAGAAGTAATGGAAGAGGAGTGAGTAACAGGTGAAGGAGATAGTTTTCCTAACTTGATACGCCCTATCTCTCTCCCTACTTGCAAGAGAGCAGGAGCGATCAAACCATGGTTATAAAGTGAAAGTTTTCTTAGAAGATGGGATAAATGCACTCATACCACCCTGTATAACCCCAACAATGCTGTCAGCACATACAGAGGGGTCCCGAGTGGAAAAACAACATTCATCCCAAGGAAAGTGGGAGAAGAATTCTCGCAAGGATTGCCAGTTTACCCTCCAATAGTGCCATAGATGGCGTTTAGAGGGGGGTGGGGGAGGTAGTCTTGCCCAGATTGATTTAATAGTTATAAGATTGTGATCAGAAGACCCTAAGGGGGGCGGGGGATTAAGTATGAATAGTGTGAGGGGTCAGAGGTAAAACAAAGATCACGAATGTTAGTAAGTTGATCGTGTCGAACTGGAACACTTGTAGGGTGTTTAATTATTTGTTTCAGATCATAAAGTAAGGAAAAAGAGAATGCCTCAGCTCCACCTGGGTCATCCCTTGCAGAGCCAAGCCACTCTCTGTGATGGATATTGAAATCCCCCCCTGGGAGATAGTCAGAGAGTTTCAAATAGTTGGTAGAGTTGGGAGAACAATATAGTAAACAAAGAAAACTAATCATAGTTGGTAGAGATATTTTGAGCCAGATGTCATCATAAAGAGAAGATTCAGGATCCGTTATCTTAGAATTTGGCAGAATGATTGCGTCTTGAAATGTGGTTGATGGGAGATCTTCTATTTTGGAAAGAGTAATTGGTAAATAGTGTGTTTTATTACTATTGAATTTAACCAAGTTTTTAACTCCCCATTCGCCTACGTGTGTTACAGTAGGTGCGTACACCTCTTTCAGAACGAAAAGAGGTATAGAGGCTGTAGTTGGAGACTTGAAAAGGTTTGGGTGAACCTGATTTGGTCAGTTGAAGTTCTGATAATAGTAAGAGATTGGGGGAAGAGGTTAATCTACATTTGTCTTTGATACCCCCAAAATGTTCTACACTACTGAGGGTATACGCAAACACTTGTTATCTTGAAAATAGGTTCTTATTCTCGTACGGGAGATATACAGAGGAACAAGACAGTGGGCTTCCACACCATAAGGACTAGCAATCTCAACTCTCTGTATCACTCCGCGCTGGCATTTACAGATGCCAGCATTCACAAGCTGAATACATAATATGTAAATATGATAATTCACATACATAACATGGTGCATAATAAATGGAAATATTACATAGGATTAATACATGTTCTGTAATACTTTACTATATATAATTAATAGAGTAATATAAGAATACACAGCTTAAGGTACTACTTCGTGTCCATATTATACAGTTAATAGGTGGTGTTCCACAGAAGAAAAATTGGATCTCATGCCGTGAATGTTGGAAAAAATTAAGTGCGAAAAAAGCCGATCCTCCAGCAACCGCGGGACGTCAGTTAAGGCCACAGTAGTTTGATAATGATTAGGTCGCCCTGGGGTTCACAACCGTCCCGACCATAGGGACCCAATTGAGAAGACCCTGCTTTAATATTATTGTCAACTGATTTCATTGGAGAATAAAAGAATAGAAAGACTAAAACAAATCAATAGTGAGAAAAGTTATATATGATGTGTTGTCAATAATAAGAGAAACACTTGAGACCCTGCAATTATGTGTAAATGAGGCAGAAAGTCAGATCAGCATCCTGGGACTTGGTCACAATTTTTGAGATGCCATATTGCAGCAGGGTCTACCATTAGACAACAAATTATGCTTCCAATATCTTCCCAGGCGGTAGTACCTCCCTGTTTGGTAGCTGTCTAATACCTACAACTTTGGAATATCAGAGTAAACTAAAACAACTTGAGCATGAGCAACAGCGTGAGCTGTTTAGGCTAAGAGAATTAGAAGAGTACTGCCAGTTTAGATTAAAACAACAAGACAGACAACAAGATTTGTAATTTAAACAACAAGACAGACAACAAGAATTTGAATTAAGACAACAATATGAACGTCGATTTATATTAAGAGAGCAGGAACAAGGGAACTTACGTTTAGAGTTACAGTTAGCCTAGATGCGCCAACAAAATCCTCCAGTTTTCTCTAGCCATGATAGTACAATGGCACAGAAAACTTTTGATCTTGGCAAGAATTCTCAGCTTATTGGTACATTTGATGAGAGTGGTCCTGATTCGCTTTCATCGTGTTTGAGAAACTTGCCGTTAATCTTAAATGGGAAAAACAGTATTGGGCTGTCCTGGTACAAACGAAATTTGTACGTAAAGCAAGGCAAATTTATACCAGTCTTAGCAGTGATGAATGCATGAAATATGATGTGGTAAGGAATAGTGTGCTACAGGTATATGATCAGGAAGCAGAGACTTACCGTATGAATTTTTTAAATCAACAAAAGGTATGTAACACTACTTAATTGGAGTTTGCAGATATACTAAACCGTCATTTCGCGTAATGGCTTAAGGCAAGCAACATTATATCACTTGAGCGACTTAAATAATTGATCATTTAAGAACAATTTAAGCGTAAAGCTCCTCTGGAAATCCACCTGTGTCAATACGAGAAAGGAGTACAGGAGGTCGTCACAGCCGCTAAGTTAGCAGACATGTATGAAGGGACTTCTAAAAGAGTCCCTGATAGTACAGCGGCATAGCCAAACAATTGTGCATTTTATGATGAAAGCATTAACTTTGGCACATATATAGAGTAATACATGGTGAATATTTTCAGATATGGAACCACTGGAAACTCAACGTCTGTGGGCGCCATATTGAATTTCAATATGGCCGCCGTTCAGGATACGCTAAACTATGTATTTCTGTTTTTACGGTTGCATATTTCATTCCAATGCATCAATATACATAATCCGGGTTACGAAAATTATTTGTGATAGTTTTCGAAGTTTATTACAATGAAAAAGACAAGTAAAAGCATTACACTGGAAAATTAACATACAAATTTTTCGAACTCCCAAAATTTAAAAAAAATTCTGAAAATTCGGCTATTGAGGCCGAATCTCTGTAGATATCTGGCCTTAACAGCCACCTTCACATGCACAAAGTCCATTTGCCTCCAGGTATTTTTATGTGTAGCCATTCAGTTTGATTCAGTCAATTGTAGTGAATATCAGTGTTCATCAGTGTTCATGCTTTAACAGTTGAATTGTCACTCACCCAGTGTAAGAAGTAATATAACGTAAATATGTCTGTTGTTTCTAGACAAGAGATTTGTTTGTGTTGTTCATGCTTCCCAGTCCGTCCCCTGACGACTCTCCCATTTGCCTCCAGATCCAATTGTGACTCTTGGATCACTCGACAACTGCCTCGGATGTAGTAGCTACTCAGCAGGGAACAATACATGAAACGATGGCACCGATGCGGCCT